CAGAAGGATCTTCGGACAGGTAGTGGTTAGGGAATTCTTGTGTGGAGAAGCTAGTTGACCGAAAGATGCTAAGTCACTCACAATAGGATTAAATAATCTCAGAGTGAATGGTTTGACTCTGTTGCGCAGCTCTTGTATGAGTCTAACCGTTGCAGAGATGAATCTTTTACTCGAAGGATTAGCTGATTCACATGCTGAGTTGGGTGTTCAGCATCTGGACATAGTAACTGGAATCATTCAGTGGGTAATGGCGTAATGACCGACACTGGGAGTGGATGGGATTTCAGTTTCGGCGGAGGAATTATCCTTCATAGAGATAAGAGTAGGGATGGCAAAAAAACCCGAACCCGACGGGAAAACCCGATTCCCGAAGTTTTTGGGTCGGGTCCGGTCGCTCTTATCGGGTATCGGGTCATTATCGGGTTTTTTGTTTGGGTTCGGGGCAGGGAGTGGGATATGCGTGCCCGACCCGCCCCGCCCCGAAATCTCTCTCTATATATATTAAATTACATTTATGCCCCCTTAAAGAATTAACCCTAAAAAAGGGGCTAGGGTTCGCTCTATATTTCTATTGATCTACTCCTCCATGCTCCAGCCGACAAGACACTCCCAAAGGCCAATGACCCAAATCGAAATTATATTCTCAGTTCTTCAGACTTCAATCTTCATTCGTTCAAGTCGCATAGAGATTAGAGAGACGAGAGTTAGAGACGACACTCCACCGGCGATCTCGTGAACAACTGAACACCGCCTTCAACTTCCGCACACCAATCCGATGGTCAACAACAACTGGTCAACCCTTATGCTATTCGTGCTTGTGTTTTAGCCTTGGTTGCTCGTTCAACAACTGAATACAAAATTCAACCTTTCGCTTGGTTCCTCGTTCGTTTTCCTCTGTGGCAGGCTCGCACCAACAGTAGCAAGCAGGTAAGATTAAGTATTTTTTGCTTATTCCATTGGAAGTACATTTGTTGAACATATAGGTTTACCTATTGAAATGCACATAAATATGATTTCGAATCACGTCTACTCGTGATGTTCAACATTCACAATACTTTTGTTCTGTTCTAGTATAACACTGTTCTGGTATGTATGCATGTATGTATACTTTAGTAAAATATTTGTTATATTTAAAAAGTATAACTCTTGGTCAGAGTGTTTTAATCCCATTGTATTTATAGTTGTATATCTTTTATGGATTGATATACTTAGTTCACTATAAACAATGCTCTGATACCAATCTATTACACCCCGAAACCGAGATGGCGGAAACATTCGGGGGTGGAGGACGTCATGTATAGTATCATAACAATGTACAATAGTAAAACAAGCAACAACATCCATTGCATTAATATAATAGTTAATACATGTGTGTTCTTTGTATATTTGTATGACACCAAAATATATAGCAAAAATAAAAGACGAGTCTTGAACATGCCCCGACTTCTCCAAAACCTATGCTAGTGTACCTGTCTACTGGTTACCTGAGAATACAAGTTATTTTGAAAGAGAGTATCAACATTTAAGTTGGTGAGTTCATAAGTATTTAGTGTCTAATGTTTGTATTTGTTTCATGAAAATGTTAGTATATTTCCCAAAAAATCCTATATTTTCTACTTAAAATGAAAAGTAGTCTTTTACCCAAGACCCAACTGTTTGTATGTTTCGTTCTCTTGAAATAGTGTAAAATTTATGTTTGTACTTGAAATAGTACAAATGTATGTTTTCCATAATGTAAACTATCTTTAGTATAAAAATAGTATGCATTGTTAATGTGTGAACATCACTGTGTATATAATGGAAGATAATATCTTTTAGTAGTTTTGTTTAAAATAAAACCATTGAACAAATGTTTGTCTCGTAAACCGAAATGTTTAGTTAATGCTTAATGTGAATGAGGTTATAACCATACTTAATTGACTAGTATAAAACACGACGTTCTTCAGGCGTCGAAAAAGGTATGACATTTGTCACCCGTAGACCTGCCGGTCCCAACTGTAGCTAACAGCCAAGGTGCGGGATTGTCAGTCTCGTATAGATCTATACACAAATTCACGCTCTCCCTACAGGAGACTCTAGTTATAAAACATGACTTAGCAAGAATGTTTGCTAAGTACCATGAAGTAGTATGTCACATTCTAGTTAACTTGTTTACGTATAGTATGTATATGTTTCTTGTTGTTGTAAATGAGTAGTGTACTTTGCAATGAAAGGTAATAGTATGCATGTATTGATTCATGTAATGTTTCTTTGATCTAGAAATTAGTATGAATTGATTCTCTAAACTATACCTATTATAGTTTACTAGTATGTTTGTTTGAACTGTAAATGATCTGGAGAAAAGACCCATTTGCTCAGCATATACAAATGAGTTAAGTATGTCTTTGAAATGAGTTTTAATACTCATGTATATATTTAGCATGTATAATTATGATTTAGCCGACAGTCGGACTAGTGATCCTACCCTAAGCCCACAACCAAACAAGGAACATGAGTTAAGGTATTAGCAATAGTCCTAAGTTTGTTAAAGCCTAATTATACATAAATATACAAATGAATATGATTTTGATATAAACAGAAATCTAAAATAGTTTTTAAAAAGAGTTTGAAAATGATTTTAACAATATTTATAAGCATAAGAATCCTTTTGTTTGTTTGCTTTCACCTGTAAGTGTCAAAACAATAATATTGTGTTTTTCTTGTATTCCCCCTAAAAACATTGAAAAAGGTAAATTGTAGGGGTATGAAATCACCTTATGTGAGTGATTCGATTGAAGGTTCGATATAGGATGTTATTTCCACAAGTTAAATCCCGTGACAAAACGTGTCCTAAAAGCATTTCACGTAATATATATGTATACAATTAGTGAACATAATGACAAATATGTTAAGGAAATAGCGTAATTTGTAAGTTTCACTTACAAATAAGAGTGTTATAAGTGATTTCGTGAGGCTGCAAAGCATTTTCGGCCAGCCTTGGATTTTCGACCACCTGAAGATCTTGGTGTTTCTTGGTGTTCTTGGTGAAACCAAGATGATCCAAGCGTTTTCGGTTGAAGAATACCAAAAAGGAAGGTGATAGTTTGATGAAATGAAGAACACTTTATGTTCTTGGCAAGATCCGAAGGAGATTCAAGGCTTTTTTAGATGATAGTTGAGAGAGAAAAAGGGTTCTCGGTTTGATGATCTTGAGAGAAAAGTGTATGTTTTCGGTTAGAAGGTGTAGAAGTGAGGAAGTGTTTTCGGTTCTATGCTTATAAAGGAGGATAAGCTTGACGTGACACATGCATGGGTTTGCGAACCGAGAGGATAAGACCGAGGGTTCCCGGCTGGAAACCGTTTGCGGTTGCGAACCGAGGGTTTGCGACTTCGGACATTTACGGTTCTAGGAGTTTATAGCCCTTGCAAGAGTTTTCGGTTCTAGCGAGACTTCTCGGATTTAAGCACTTCACTTCCATTTATGTAACACTTCTAATAAAAGGTTTTTAAACACATAGAGATTTTTAATCTAAACATAATAAGATAAATCTACTTAATAAAATAAATCAACACAATAAGTTTGACTTTAGTTGACCCAAGTTTGACTTTACAAGATTGAAATTAACGGGTTGTCACAACAAATTTATTGACACATTACAAATCTCTTGAAAACAATCTTACACAAATACCTCTTTATTCCTTTTTTTGATCTTGTTGAATGTTATAAAAAGAAGAATTATTGTTTCTTGGTTTTATTATTCTTTTAATACAATCGTTGTATGTTATGATTGAATTTTTAAAGTAATTACATCAATACATGTTATCGATCATATGTTATATAGGGTAATGTAGATAATATTTAATTAAGTATGTTATATATGACTGTTTGTTTTGTATTGCTTCAAAAATATAATTAACTAAAAGTCATTGATATGTCATATTTCTAATACAATTCTCTTTTAAAAAACAAATCATGTATCTTATCACGTTATATTTAGTATATGTTGAACATTTTAATAATAATAATAAGTGGTTCTTAAAAACTCTTATTTAACTTATCAATAATAATGTGATTTTAAAATCAATGAACAATAATTATCAATAATGATAACATCAAATTTTAAATTATCTAATGTTACCTAAAAATGAATTGTATTTTAAATCAATATCACGATAATACTAAGAGATGGCTGCATAAGTAAAATTTTAAATTAATTGTTCATAATAATTGTTAAAAATAACAATAAATCGAGAATTATATTTAATTTTATTTATGCGCAAGCAGCAGGTAGAAGTCATTGAATAATATTGTTTAAAATAGTTTACCTGTGCAATGAGCAGAAATTCACCTAGTAAATACTATATGTTTAAGGCTAATTTTGGAAATTAATTAATAAATCTCAATAGTTTTTTTTCTTAAACGATGTATGAAATAGCTTTTAGATTTTAAGTTTTTTGTTTAAACTAAAAGTTAAACGCTCTTATTCCTAAACGGAGTTTTTTGTTTAAATCGAGCTTTTTGTTTAAGCTAAAAGCTAGAAATTTCCAAACCGAATCATTGAATTGTTTTAGTAATTTAAATGTTTTTTTTAGGTCCGAAAAGGACAAGAGGCTTTGCTTGCATTTACGGTGCTCATTTGAGAAGTTTATAAATTGATTGGTTCCAGTATCTTTAAATCTAACTAGTCGGCTGAAAGATTTTTTTTAAATGATTATTTTACTTTTGGAATAAAATTTCAAAATAATTCTATTTTGGACCTAAAGAAAAAAGGGCCATAAAGGAGTAAATTTGTAATTCAGTCAAGATGGAAGAGAATCTTGAAACATGGATCCATGTGGTATTTTGACTTTAAATCGTTGGACATGTAGTGTAATATTATTCAAGTAGAAACCATGTGGAAAATGTAACCTATTTGCTATTTGGTTAGCTTCAAGTTGTAAAAATGTTCCCTATTTGGTCTATATATAGACATAGATCTAGAATTCAAATTACCAAATACTCCACAGAGACAATCCTTAAAATGTCAGTCCCTACAACCCCCGATATCATTCCTCTTTCAACAGATAATGAAAGTGGCTTCCTCTACAATAAATACAAGGATACTTTGACAACTTTGCCAAAAGAGAAAGGTTGGTTATCGGAAAGCATGTTCTTGTATCAAGGCTTTTGGGTTGAGGAAGGGTCTGTAATCTCAGCTGTAGATGTAATGGCCTCCCAGGATAGTTTCCAAGCTCTTCCAACTGATATATACTTGGCCACACTACCAAAATCTGGAACAACATGGTTGAAGGCGCTTACATTCGCGATAGTAAACCGCACCAGGTATAATAAAACCAACTCTCTTTCAACTGATCATCCTCTACAATGTCTTAACCCCCATATATGTGTTCCTTTCCTTGGGATGGACTCTTCACACTTCCCTCCTTCTACTAATGTTGATCGACATTCACCGCGTCTCTTTGCTACCCATATTCCTTACACTTCATTGCCTCAATCCATTCTTGATAGCGGTTGTCGCATAGTTTATATTTGCAGAAGCCCAAAAGATGTTTTGGTTTCTTTGTTTCATTTTACAAACAAGGTGAGAGACAAATCTCTTGGTGTAATGACATTCGAGGAGGCGTTTGAGATGTTTAGAAAAGGTATGATGCCATTCGGACCTTGTTGGGATCATTTGAAAGGGTACTACAAGGCTGCTTTGGAACGCCCGTTAGAGATTCTATTTCTAACATACGAGGACATGCAAAAGGATACTGTCAATAATGTGAAGCGTCTGGCAGAGTTCTTGGGATATCCTTTTACTCAGGAGGAAGAGGTTGAGGGTGTCGTGCATGAAATTGTCAAGTTATGCAGTTTTGAAACTTTGAAAGAGGTTAATAAGCATGGGATGGTGATTGCGGATTTGCCTAATGATGCTTTCTTTAGGAATGGGAAAGTTGATGATTGGACAAACCATCTCACAAATGAAATGAGCCAAATTTTGGATGAAATCACCAAGGAGAAGTTTGATGGTTTGGATATCTCCTTCTAAGTCGGTGCATGTGACCAATGGTTTGATTGTGTGATTTCCTTCATTCCTGTTTTTTCTTAACGTTATTGTTAATCTCTATTTTTCCGAAATTGTGCACTACATATCAAATTTAGCTCCACATTATGTAAAAAAGTTATTTTATGTAAGCTTTATTTTTCATCTGGAAATTGAATAAAATTTCATCCTTTGGGATTTCTTCAACATTATATTTCGTCTTTACTCCCGTTCTGTGTCAGCCTGGCCATGGTCTTCATCATTGGTTTGAAAATGTTTCATTAACGTCCTTTTTGGTGTGCTGTAATCACAAAGGGAAAGGAATAAGGTATTAACAAGAAAATGGGAAAATGCATGTTTAGTTGGTGATTGGAAAATATGTATTTAGTAAGGAATAACATTCCATCAAAATATGCCTTTAACTGACTTTATCGGTGACAAATATTGCTGCTAAACACCCCATTTGTCGCCACAACTGCCTTTAGCGGCAACATGCCGCCATAATGGGTCGCTCCGCTGTTACGCGCGTCATTGCTATTGCTTATTTGTCGTTGCAGATATTGTGGCCAAATGGAAGTTTAAAAATTGCAAAATATCAAGAGTAAAGTTCTATAAATCCCGGTTCTTGAATCAATCCAAATTAGATCATCCAAATTTTCTTCATATCTTCAAATTGAAGTGTTCGGTCGTATCACATGTTAGCATCTCTTTAGTTTTTTTTAAGTGCTTCATTTCTATGTTCCAGTTCTTTTTTTTATTTTAAGTGCTTCATTTCTATGTTCCAGTTCTTTTTTTTAGTTACTATTGGATTTATATTAAAAAAAATCCACTTGAAAAAAACGGTCCCACAGTCTTATTCATTATTTCTACCAAAGTTTCAGCAAGTGTAGCATTATTAATTTCTCATATATTTTTGGTTTAGGTGGAACACAGGTAGTATGCATAAATTGATAGACAACTAAGAATTAAATGTCATGTTAACGCTTTGTTTCTTTCTTCTCACCGGGTTCATAAAATATAATCCAACATATCTTCGACCAATGAAACATCCATTGAAGAAAAGCATTATTACCACCAACGATCCCCGAATTCTATTTATACTCATCTGCTTATATGATTGTTCCGTGGCTCCTTCAACCTTCAACCATGTGCCAAAAGGAGACGTAAATATAGGATGTCTTCAAGCTGAAAATTAAATAAATAAATTTACAAATAAAGTTTTAACACGATCCAAAATCCAATAAAAGACATAGTACATTTATTCTTACATTACTAGAAAAAGGTGGGGTTTCCTACAAAAATTTCCTAGGACCAGAAATTTCTCGCTACTTCCTACAAATTACCGAGGAACTTCCGAGGAAAACGTCTCTGATATTTCCTTAGAAGATCCTCGGTAGCAAATACGAAATACTGATGAGCTATTTGTCCTAGGAAGTCCCTCGGAAGTTCCTATGTTTTTCCTAGGAAATAAATATATATTTAACGTTCCTAGGTAGTTCCTCGGTAGTTTTTTTATTACCAATTTATTATTTTAAACAAGTCATATCATTTTGTTCTAATATGCCAAAGAGCCTCACATCTACATTAGAATTGTTTCGTTTAAGTGGTTCCTAGCAAGTTTCTCAAAACTTCCGAGAGATTTCCTATGGAATTTTCAAACCAATGTCTCTCAGTAGACATGTCAAACTTTTACCAATTGTCTTAGGGTCCAAGTGATTAATTTGATACACAAAAAAAAACTTATAAAGTTAACACATTTAGGAAATACCGAGGAATTCCTCGTGCTCGGAAGTCCCTCAGAAGTTCCTACGATTTTCCTAGGAAATAAAAATACGTATTAAACGTTCTTACATAGTTTTTTTATTACCAATTTATTATTATAACCGAATCATATCATTTTTTTCGAATATGCCAAAGAAGCTCACATTTATGTTATAAGTGTTTCGTTTAAGTGTTTTCTAGGAAGTTTCTCAGAACTTCCGAGGGATTTCCTAGGAAATTTTCAAACCAAGGTCTCTTACCAAAATAATCATCATTTTTATTTTCATATTATTATTATTATTATTATTATTATTATTATTATTAACAACATTGTTATTAATACACATATACATACATACTAAAAATAATTCTAATAATAAAAATAAAAAAAACTGTAACTAATCCATTGGAAATGTGTAGGTAATTCCGAGGGATTTCCTAGGCCCAATTTTTTTTTCGTTTGATCGAAGTTCAAACGTTGCATTTTTTTTGTTCCATATTTGTACAACTTTGTTACATATTAAATACTTTTATCTTACAAAGTTAAGTATTATACATATACACAACCATACATATGTACACATACATATAGATTTACAATGGTAAATAATGTTTTGAGTAATGGGTTCTGATGGTGCACGCGCATGTATGTTTGCATATATTGTGTAGAACTTGGTGAAATAAAAGTAATTAATGTATAATGAAGTTGAACAAAATATAGAACGAAAAAACGTTGTTTTAACATCAAAAAATGAAAAACGAGTTATCTTCCTAGGAAAACTCTTGGAAATATTTAGGAAATACCAAGGGATTTCCTAGACAACACAGAATTTGTCACTAATCCATTGGAATTGCGTAGGTATTTCCAATGGATTTCCTATGACCAAAACTCGTTTTTTTATTTTTTTGAGGTTCAGACGTTGTTTTTTTTTTTTTTTCATATTTTGGACAGATTTTTTATACATTAAATACTTTTGTCTTACCAAGCTATACAATTATATACACATACACATAAATATTGATTTATAATGGTAAACGAATGTTTTGAGTAATGAGTTCTGATGGTGTACACGTATGTATGTATGTATATATCGTGTATAACTTGTGAAATAAAAATAATTTATGTATAATGAAGTTGAACAAAATATATAATGAAAAAACGACGTTTGAACATAAAAAAAAATTGAAAAACGGATTATGTTCCTAGGAAATCGCTTGGAAATGCGTAAGAAATACCAAGGGATTTCCTACAGAATACAAAATTTGTCACTAATCCCTTCGAAATACATAAGTCTTTCCAAGGGATTTCCTAGGACCAAAACTCGTTTATATACATATGTTTGCACCTTCATAATCTATTACTAAAACATTCATTTTTTATTTTGTATTTATATTTTTGTGTATACGTGGATAATGAGTATAACTTGGTTAGCTAAAAGTATTTTATGTATAACAAAGTTGTAAAAAAAAGAAACTAAAAAAAATATCATTTAAACCCCAAAAATGAAAAAAAAAGTTATGTTCTTAGGAAATCCCTCGGAAGTTGCTACACATTTCCGAAGAAACTAAATATTATTTATTATTTTTCCAACTATTTTATATAAGTACAACTTGGTAATCTAAAAGTGTTCTGTGCATAACAAAGTTGTACATAAAAGGAAACTAAAAAAATAACGTTTGAACCTCGAAAAATGAAAAAAATAAATTATGTTCCTAGGAAATCCCTCGGAAGTTCATACGCATTTCCGAGGAAACTGAACATTAACTACAATAAAATCATCATACATATATACATGATTTTGGACCTTAATCTTTTACTTATAACATTCATTTTTATTCTATATTTGTATTTGTGAGTACGTGGATAATAATAAGTATAACTTAATAAGCTAAACATATTTTATATCTAACAAAGTTGTAAAAAAAGAAACTTTTTTTAGTTTTATGACTTGATAAGCTAATCATATTATATATCTAACAAAGTTGTACAAAAAAGAAAACTAAAAAAGTAACATTTGAACCTCAGATAAAAAAATATATATTTTACTAGGAAATCCCTCGGAAATTCCTACGCATTTCCGAGGAAACTGAATATTGATATGATAGCCCAATAACTTAAAGCGAGCCCAAAACCCACATATAATTAAGCCCACTTATAATTTGTGTCCTATTTCGTAACTTGTGAGTAGTTTGTAGCAGGGGGTGTTAACGGGGTGGTTCGATTCGGATAGAAATAAAATTTTGAACCGTTAACAAAGGATGGGTACCTCATATGCACTAACCGAAACCAAACCGAATTGACGAAAAAACCGAAGCGAACCGAACTGTATAAAGGCAGGTAACCACGGTTCGGTTCACGGGTACCCGCTAAATATAGTTTTTATTCATATTAATTCACCTTAATTTTTCCAAATAACGGTTTCTTTGATATCAATCCATAAAATTAATTTTCCAGTATTCAATTATTAATTACGATATTTCCATGTTTTTAAAAATTTGGTTTCAAGCGCATGGTAATTAAAGTCACTGTAACTTTTATTCGATAATGAAAATCTTGAATGAATTAATCCATTGAATTAGCTTCATAGTATTTGATGGCCAACTAACTACTAATCATTATATTATGGTTAGATATAATTTTGTTCAAATTCATTTATCCAGTAAGGAGTAAAAACGGTGTTCATTTTATTTAATCATTTTTAACTATTAGTGGTGGCCTTCAATCCAGTGATGTTACACGAGATTTTATTTGTTATTCTTTACCAATGACATATATATATATATATATATATATATATATATATATATATATATATATATATATATATATATATATATATATATATATATATATATATATATATATATATTGTAACACTCGAAAAACCAGAAGGCCAATTAAGGAAAGAAAAACTCCAAATCAAGAGAGAAACTAGTCGAGTTCCAGGAGGAGAACTCGACGAGTAGGAATAGATTTGGGACGCGGGTTGGGAAACCTACTCGACGAGTTGAAGGGACCAACTCGCTGGGTTTGGGAAACCCTAAATCAGGGATCTTGCACCCTATTTAAGCATCCTAATCTCCACCTTTCAGCCTCATTTCCAGCCTCCATTGTCCAAACCCTAATTCTCGAAACCCTAATCCATTTTGAGAGCTTGTGAGCCATTTTTGAGTGAATTTTGGGTGCTTTGGAGCTTGAGGAAGAAGGAGAAGCTTGGGGATCCAAAAAGAAGCTAGTAGATCCA